TATCGTACAGCGTAGATGTATGAGGTCCATTTCGATGAGTAATGATCAAGGAGAGCGGTTGAGGTTGGAGAGCCTGTAGGTTCCTTAATTTCAAGCTCGGAAGGGAACATAAGATCGATGTGATCAATACATTTCTTGTTATTTAAAGACAGTATATTTTTTATATATCTCGGTGTCCGCTCACTGATAGAAAATCTTGTCACCTAACTCAACAAAGAATACTGTCAAATAGGAACTCGGTCGTTCTCACAATTTCATCCTCTTTATATTTATTTTAGCCTTTGTTGTTTTTTCACAAAAAAACGCTTCAAAACAATTTACAATCACACATTTATATCGCAGTTCGCTACTCTGTTTTATAAAGAAAGCTCTCATAATACGAGAACGAAGGTGTTCCTTCTGTTTCGTATGAGAAATGATAGTGCAAAGGGTAGGAAAGTCAAAAGGTATTTTTATAGAGAAAACGTTTTTGAGAAGACGATGTTCAAGTTAGATCAACGGATCTTTGAATTTTTCAAAATCCACATTCTATTTATTCCGCGTACCGGGTGTAGAAATGTAACACAATTGAAATGCTACCAAGAGTTGTATAAGACGTTTGTGTAATGACTTGGCAGAGCAACAAGATGAGCCCGCGATAAAACGTTATTTATAAGGATTCTTGTTAATCTCTGAATCAAATACAAACGAAGCAGGTCCGTGTCCTTTTCATTAATGGGTATTCGGAAAGATTGCAATACAGAAGCGTGATGTTTTGTTTTCCTTTCGGGTTGCAGGCGGCTATAATTTCGTTTTGCCCTTAGGGTCAATTATATGTAGCTGCTAGTTAAACGGACATCACGTGAAAAGGCGTTTTTTTTTTTAATGAATGTATGTATTGTATGTTCTTCCACTAATGTTACCTCGCTATCCCCATATTCATAGTCCGTTCCAAATGTCCAGTTTGACCACTTGAATTGTTCGGGAAAGCCCTGCTAAAAATAGCGCCGATAACGTCACCTGACTAGGCAGTAAACACAAGTGGTGCGAGCGAGATGAGACGGTTTCCAAAGGGGCACCCAGAGAGAGGCCGTCAGGCAACTGCAACGTCTTACCGCACTATGAAACCAAGTTATATGATTTTTAAGTCCGTATTCAAACTTATTGAACAGTAATTATTAATCATTGAAGTTAATTGCACACTTGCCAATATTCAGAATTTAAATTTATTTAGCTTTAAACATAAATTTGTTGCCAATAATTTTCACAATTTATCACAGCCTTCTCCCGTCATACATTTGCAATTTAATGTCAACAATGATAATAGGCATAAACATAAAGTAGATATATTTAAATATATATTAAATTTAGTACCGGAATGTGGCCGGTACAGATGGTACGCGGCTAAACACCTTCCCTACACCAAGGGACATCACAACAGTTATCCCTTGGAGGGCCTCATGGAAAAATCAAACTAACCAGTCACTTATCCCTTCCTTTCGCATAAACCACTGTATAATTATAGAAACACAAAGTAAACTCTCTCCAATACATGCCCATTAACATATTAAACTAAGTTCATCTGTGTTCAAACTCAGACAAAGATACTAGCGAGCTTAATAGTTTTAGATATTTATTCATAACATAAACAGCGCTAGCATTTCTGTCGATTCCATTTCAGCTTAACCGGCTATCCGGAAGAATACATGCACCGTACTAACTGCTACGGCAGTTATTTTCTCCTTTGAATACTGCCCACCTGCAATAATGATTCCGTAACGTACTCCTTGCGCTATCTTTTGACCATTTGGCAACTTTTCGTTTCGTAGCTGACACGGTACAACACTTTTCTTTCGCTTACTTCACACGGCCAGTCATTTTGTTTACAAAGAAATGGTGTGCTATGCGCATGTGCTAGTAGAGGGAAATCCCTGAACAAAACGTTGGTCAGACAGGTAGAAATACCGATGATTTTCTTAGATTTAATCATTTTTATGAATCTATTTCAGCCAAATCCGATCGTTATTTTCCATAAGGAGTCTCACTTGATATGTTTATGTAGTATTTGAAAAAAGACAAAAAATAAAGTTACTTCACCGTGATGCCCCTTTAAGTCACTGAGTTAAAGACGGACTAAAATAATCTTTTCAATTACTTTAAAACTAAGTACTTTCAGTGTATATGGCTGTCGTCCCATCGTACAATGAGAATTGTCATCTTGTCATAATCTGCAAGCCTACCTCCGGTTGATATCAGATCATATGCATGACAAATCTGGTTAGAGCGGGGAATGAAAATTTAAAAAAAAAATGACGCTTACTTTGAGTAGCCTCGGAAGATAAGACATTTTCACTGCGAGGAGGATCCTCTGACTCGGTTTTTGAACTTTCAAAAATTCGAATTTTCCGGACCATAAACTTGTTCATCGTTGAGGCATTGCCATTATTTTTTTTTAAAGTTGTATATATTTTTTGTAAAATCGTAATTTGTACAAAACCTATAGAAAAAATCATGGATATAGTAAAATCTTTAATTTTAATGAAAACACGTATACACTGACTAAAAAATAAACACTTGACATTATTTGTATAGACTCGAGTCTAAGTAAGCTACGCTACTGACTGACGCCATGGTGCCCGCGATGTAAATAGACCTTTGAAAGTACTTTCAAGATTCAAGATTCAAGATTCAAGATGCTTTATTTAACGTCGCATATACATGTAACATAATAACATTAGCACTGTAGTGCTATTCTTGCGACAAAACATATATAAAATTTAACAAGGATCACAGTACTTATGAATAACTAAAAAAAACAGGACAACAATTCAAATTAGATATGCTAAAATTATACAGTAGAGCATATGATATCACACTTGAAAGTCACACAAGTGTTACGAAAGACAAGTTAAGACACTATACTAGTGTAATGTACATATATGCTAATGTAGCAAAGTGTAAAAATTTACAGGATATACACTAATATAGTGTGAATTAAAAGAGACAATGAAGTCATAAATAGAAACAAGAGCTATAATTATGATATTGTAAAAAAGTAATGATCTTTTAAATAATGGAGCTCAAATCTAAAATAAATATCAATTATATAATAAGTATATTACTGAAGTACATCAAATTAAATAACACAAGCAGCAGTGAAATTAAATAGTTGTAGTATAAAACATGAAGGTAGATTCCAAAGGGGGACAACTCCCACTATATGACACATGAGCAGACATTTTTGTTCCAGGTGTATTTGTCGTCAACAGCGCCCGGGTGGATCCTATGAATCAAGATTGCGTTTTGTACCATTTCCTGAGATTTTGAGAACAAACTTTCAGTTTCACTTTCTCTGGCGGACAAATTTTATCATTTTAATTTTGATTTTTAGCAATCTTACGGTCAGGAACTTGATTTAAGATAATTTTGAGGAGAAAAATATGAATTACTAATTCTTTATGTTTGGTTTCAGACACTACTAAAATAACAAAAGGTCAGAGATAAGATATTAAAATATATTCAAGATATTTTCAAAGCACAGAGCTTCTACATTTCTCTTTCTTTCTGGGGTACGTATTGATCAATTAATATGTATTTTTCAAAGTTTTATCAAAAGATTGTAAGCGAATTGGGACCAAACTTTTTTAGGGAAAAGAAAAAAAAAAATCACCTCGCTAGCTTACGGTGGGCAGTGCTTTTTCATCATATTATAATTACTTTTCAGTTACTTTGACTGTGTCTATTGGGCAAGAATGCTAAATACACAAGAAAGGTGGACAAAAACTTAAAATTCCATTATAGACTTAATTATATCAGCATGCTAACTTACACTTTTAAAAAAACCTGGAAACTTGACTCCTTTTACACTCCTCCCTTTCAAAATCGTTTGATTCGTGTGTTATACACACTATATTTAAACACCTTTATTTGACACATGAGTAAAACATTTATATAATTTGATATACATACAGGTATATACATGGGGCAAGGAACTAATTCTTACTAATTCAAACAGTGTGGACAATATGATGCTGTCAGATTTACGAAGCAATCCGCTCCTTTATCGAGACACAGAAAAAAACATAAGACAATTACATTACATAAAAAAAAAATATCAGAAATATAACAGGATATAGCTAAAATATTTTGAAAACAATAAGCCCTTCAGCTAGCGTTAGTCGATGGTACGTAGAATGTACATGACCACCTCATCGTTGACCACTGATACATGTATATATGTATATATACAATGTGATGCAAATTAAACAGTATTTGATACATAAGCTATACACGGGAAGTGATGAACATTGATCAGGGAAAAAAATGTGAACAGCGAATAGTATATCTTGTCTGTTCGCATGGAGAAGGAACAACAACGTGGTCTGATATATATTTTCTTAAATTTACTGTCTTGTTGCAAAAAATATTATTGTACAGGGAAAGGACTTGATATAAGTTGTAAAACTTGTGCCAAATTCCATTGCTATGTAAAAAGGCAATACAATATGTTTAAATAAAAACTAAGCTATACAAACCCGACTTCGACACCTTCTCTATTTTCTAAATATTTCCGAAGACTGTAAAGGAAGTGGACAATGACCATTATAAGACAATTTTACATAATCAGAGACGTATGTTAGATCTACTGGCTTTAAATGGCTCTGACTACATATGATTTTTTTTCCAATATGAAGATCGCTTGTGGATTAATTACCTTAACTTAAAAATAGATTGCCATTTAATTTGTCCTACTTGGCATTCAAGATATATTATATATGCGTAAATGTATGCTATCTTGCCCCTGTCGGTAGGCCTCTTGAATGTGTTCCCGCCCATTTGTATAGAGACTCGCTTACAACAAATAAAATTACTATTCTAATTTCAGATATTCCATATATATTTGGTCAAGTGATAATTTGTATTTTATAAAATTAAAAGTTGTGATAGCTAATGTATTGATAATAGACTTTTATGAACGTCACTTTTTGTTTATTTTTGATTTATAGCTATATAAGCGACCTAATCTATTTGCCGCCATTTGCAATTTGTAAACAAAAACTTCGTCCTTTCTTTTCTGTTTTCTTGCAGAGTGCGTCGATATGATACTTTATTAACCAAAAACTGATAATGTATATCAAACAGGTAAGAACAAAGATGTTGATGCATTTGTGCAATTTTGTATGATTTGAAGTGATCCATTGAATCGTAGTAAATCTATGAACGCATCAGACATATATGCGTTTAGATTTACTATTTCTGAAATATGAGATAGGGACGCTGATCTCATAAACAAAAACAGTATTCCAGAAAACATGCATGCCTTCTCTATATATTTACCTATGACTGTTTTCGTTTGATCAAAATGAAAAACCTTGTGTTGAACGACTTTGATTGAATACCCTTTCAATAACCTACATCTTTGTCCATCTATAGCGGATAGGAGAAGACTTATACTGCAGTATAGGCTAAGCCTGTTGTCTCATCCAATTGTTCAATATTTTGTCCAATAAGATTTGTTAAAATTTTAATCGAATACCCTTTTAGGTGTAAAGCTATATATTGTAAGCTCAATCACGTCGATATTTAGGTTCCTTAACTTAAGCTTGCTTAAAATATTATGTTGGTAGATTGAAAAATGTTTATCATTATATGTTTGTCATGCATTATAGCGGATAGGAGAAGACTTATACTGCAGTATAGGCTAAGCCTGTTGTCTCATCCAATTGTTCAATATTTTGTCCAATAAGATTTGTTAAAATTTTAATCGAATACCCTTTTAGGTGTAAAGCTATATATTGTAAGCTCAATCACGTCGATATTTAGGTTCCTTAACTTAAGCTTGCTTAAAATATTATGTTGGTAGATTGAAAAATGTTTATCATTATATGTTTGTCATGCATGATCCTCATTAGGAAATAATTTACATATAAGATTCCTCAAGATATATTTCAGTTCTAATGCAAGACCTACAGGCCTACAGTACATATATGACAACAAACTCTTGCCGGTACTGTTTCTTCTTTAGGGTGCAGGGGCTCCATCAATGTATTGATGATGCTCTCGGGGGTCCTATCACAGAGGCGTGCAAAAAGGGGTTATATACAGTGATTAGTTGGTTTTTTTTAGTTTGCATCATGGTGGCTTTGGTCTATAAATTACAAATTTGAGTTTGACAGGCGTAAGGGACTGCAACAACAGCTTGGAAGATTTCATAATGTACTTGAACAGGTTGGGCACAACAGCGCATATGGGTAATAATCCTGCATTTGGGTAACAGTTACCAATTTGTAGTTACAATTTTATTACTGAGATTGGGAATTAAGTGAAATAAAAAGATAAAAAGTTTATAAATACTTGCATAAAAAAAGGCTGTTATGCTTTCACCTAAATCAAATATATAACACAATAAAATACATTTGTTCACAAAAAGTTTCAATTCTGATGTCTAACATTTTGTAAAAATGACAAAACATATCACTGACTTTGCTCTCCATTGACTTCAGTGTGTAGTCAATGGGATATCCGGTGCAAATGTGACAGTTGAGCATGATTTTTTCTGTGTGCTATTTATAGCTACTCTACAACACACTATAAGCAATGGAGGTGATACAATTTGTCATTTTCACAAAGATTTAGACAACTGAATTAACATTTTTGTGCACAATTGTTCCTCATTGTATTTTTTATTGGATCATGTTGAAAGAGTGACGCCCTTTTTTGCTCCAGGTGTTTAAAAGAACTTCATGTTTTAATTTCACTTAATTCCCCATCTCATTAATAAAATTGTTACTCAAATTGATAACTGTTACCCAAATGCAGGATTATTCCCAATCTGTGCCATTGTGCCCAACCTGTTAACACCTAATTATTGACTTCTAAAATCTCAAATGATTCCCACACTACAGGTATTTGGGCCAGTATACATATTGATATGGTTAATCAACATGAAACAAATTGAAAAAAGGTGTAAATGTAAAAGAAAGTTCACATTGCTATGATTATTCTACATCTTCTATCTATTCTTTTATTTGTGAATACAGTTGGTCACAGGTTGGATTTTGTGATAGACAATATTTTATTTTTCAGGTTATTATTCAAGGTTTCAGAAGTTACAGGGACCAGACTGTGGTGGAACCTTTCAGTCCTAAGCACAATGTCATCGGTATTTATATTTTTACACACAACAAAACCATCCTCATATATTTATAAATATGTGGTATGTAACCAAACATGTTTGGATTTTACTGTATATGTTTTTTGAAACATTTGTAAATATTTTTTTGTGATTTTATGTTCAAAAACATTTACTATCAGGCATTGTGTAAACATGAATGATATAGTTGTTAACTTACTTGTAAATATTCGTCATTTCATGATATGCTGAAAAACTGCAAATGTAAATGCATTATGTAATTCATTTATAAAATGACAATTTTCAGATGTTTTACAATTATTTTAAGATTATCTTTTAATTTTATAATATGTAGATATTTTTTCTTTTAAATGAGCTATCATGTTACATGATGATTCAATTCATTTCAGGTAAAAAAAAAAAAAAATGAGATTATGCCGAATCTGTATCGTGCTTAAAGCTTCTGGTAAAATTTTAATTTATTAAACTTTTTAAAATGCATTTTGATTTTTTTGTAACAGTTGGCAGAAATGGATCAGGGAAAAGTAACTTCTTTTATGGTAAGTTTTAACCACAATAAATGTACTTTTATCCATTCATGATATTTTTTTATCTTAACCAATTTCTTAGGAGCAAAAACAATAACATAATTAAGGAATGCAGTATTAATGAATGATTGATCATATTTATTATTCTGTTGACATAATTTTAATTCTGTTAGAAAGTAGAACTACATTTTCTCTATTTCAGCCATCCAGTTTGTACTGTCAGATGAGTTTAGTCACCTGAGACCTGAGCAGAGACAGGCATTGCTGCATGAGGGTACTGGTCCTCGGGTCATCTCTGCTTTTGTGGAAATAATTTTTGACAACAGTGACAACCGAATACCTGTAAGTGTATCTGGCTTATGAAAAACTAGGCCTAATTATAAGCTCAGCTGAAAAAAAGGCAGAGTAAGCTTAATATGTCATGGCACATTATTTTCACTTGGCCTATTGTTAGCGACCAGCTAGAGACTAGAATCTGTTATCTCTGTTTATACTTATGTTTCGGTTATACTTAAGATAAAGGATAATCATACCAACAAGTTAAACTATATTGTTTCCATTGTCACGATTGTAAAATAATTGTTTCAAGTCTTTTTCAAAAGTATTGTTCCATATAAACCACATATCATGGTGAATTTACGGAATGGTTTTTTTAAATTCAAATGTTTGAAAATAGATCTATATAGAAAAAATTGCACTGGTTGAATTCTTGATCTTGACATTGCAAAGTCTACACTTTACCAAAGGTGCCATACTTAAAGTATAGATGCACAACATTATGAAATGAGTGTCCAATTTATAGGCTCAAAACACATGAAAAATCAATGAACTTGGACAGGGTAAGTTACGCCAAGCCAGAAAAACTTCCGTTGGTTGCTTCATCCTCTATATTAAAGGGAGAGCACTCCAAGTCAGAAAACCTCTTCTACACTTTTATAACTGATGTAGTGGGTAGTACCCTTTACTACAATACAGTACATGTGTATGATAGACAGGTTGAGGAACTTCAAATTCATTTTATTTCCACATATAATTTTTTGTGGGAAGTACAATTTTGAATGATGTACATATCAAACATTTAGTTTAATAAGTATCATTTTGATCAATAAATAATTCATTTAATACATTTTCTTGACAGATTGAAAAGGATGAAGTTGTACTACGACGTGTCATCGGGTCTAAGAAAGATCAGTATTTTCTTGACAAGAAGATGGTCACGTAAGTACCGCAGTTAAGCATTAAAACCACAATCTAATTAAAATTATATCTTCACATTGCTCCCGTTTACTGATATGTCGCGTTGAAGATCTAACAACATCCTGTAGAGGGTCACATCAGAGGTCAACATGAATGCATTATCGTATTTATAACAAGCCAATCAAAATGCGACATAACTCTTTCTTTAAACCAATCAGAAAGCAGGACCTGTAGCATTTAATGCAGACACCTCGTAGCCCAAAATCCACTTTTTCGTCTGGTCCAGTGATAGTTTGAATATTGCGAAGCCTGTCATTGGTTAATTTTAGTTTCAGGTTGTTAAACTTTTAAACGACAACATCACCAGAAGAGGAAGTCTCTCTTATTTCAAAGCAAAATCCACAAATTGTACAAACGTTGTCTTGTAGATAGACACGGCGTGGTGTCATGGGCGCCGCCATTTTCGATGCTCATTTGACACCTCTCGGTCTTTTATCATAGCAAGTGTGTTCCGAAATCATTACATCATCACTTACAGAAATGCGTAAGCTCTCATCTGATTGGTTAATTCAAAGGTCGCCTGAACATGACCCTCTACGGAATGTTGTTAGATCTTCAACGCGACATATCAGTAAACGGGAGCGATGTGAAGATATAATTTTAATTAGATTGAAAAAAACATAACTGTCAATTGATTTCCCTATTTTATATAATTTTCCATCTTTTGAAAAGATCTGAGATTACATTCTATAATATTATTCAATTATAGCCGTTGGCTGAGGTCGATACCTGGATTTATCGACTCGAGAAAAGATATATTGACTGAGGACGCAGTCCGAGGTCAATATTTCTTTTTTCAAGTCATTAAATCCAGGTATTGTCCAAAGTTAAAGACTACAAATGTTTTATTATTTTAAAAAACAGTAATGTAAGCAATTTGAAGAGAAAAAAAACAAGCTTCGGAAATGGGACGATGCCTTGTTTGGAGACACGTCATAATTCTATTTTTAGAAACACCCAGTCCTTCAACGAAAGTCAATATCAGTTTTTATAGGTGGACGCATGATGCACTCCTGGCCAAACACTTGTCTGGAATGATATGAAAAAATAATAAAAACATCTATAAACATGTGGATAATAATTACAACAAAAATTGAATGCTTTTTTATGTTCTGATAAATAATAGCTCTCAAAATTAAAAAAAAAAAACTTTAATAATCAATATTATCAATGAATTTGAAAATGATTTTAAAGTTAAATCACTGATAGAATTGATTCTTTTAAAGTTGTTTCAAAGTACATAAATTTCGGTAAAATGTGCAATATAATTTCATTCAAATTTTATGATATAATTTCATTTAAATTTTATGATATAATTACTGCTTTAAATGTACTGAACATTTCTTATTTCAGTAAAGGTGATGTTATGAATCTCCTAGAAAGTGCTGGGTTTTCCCGTAGTAATCCTTACTACATTGTGAAACAAGGAAAGGTGTGTATAAGGAGAGAACTTTCATTTTGTAGATATTTTATCCCCTTTCATTTAAGGATATTGATAAATGTGACTTATTTCAATAGTAGATTTCAGGTTAAATTCTTTTCAAAACCAATAGCTGAAATATATACAAATCAGAAAATTAAATTCATGATATTTTTTCTCTTCTAATGTTGTCTTGGTCAGTGATAATGCTTGAAACTCAGGAGTCTGTATCGGAGGATATGTCAAATGTTATTACCAGTTAACATGGGGGTAATAACATGAGGAAAGTGCCAGTAGCCTACAGTGTACAATATTTTACCTTAGCAGCATAATTACAATAATACATTCAACTCATTCAAGACAAACACTTTCATCCTAGGACGTCAGCTATAACAAAGGCCGAAAGCAATTCACAAATGAATTTATGGTCATGATATAATTTGGATGTATGTTGTTCTTGCCAGATATTTAAGGAAAATGCATATACAGAGTATTCTATTTGTCAGAATTCAATGAGTAGATCCAAATGTGGGTATGTGACCAAAATCTGTTGAACTTTTGTAGATAAACCAAATGGCAACAGCTCCCGATTCTCAACGATTAAAGCTTTTACGTGAAGTGGCAGGTACTAAGGTTTATGATGAAAGGAAAGAGGAGAGTAAAGTCATTCTTCGAGAATCAGGTAAGTACCATATTCAAACATATACAATTTCATATATAATAAATCCTTTCAAGTAGAAAAAACACTTCCTACTATGGCTCTTTCATCAAGCACTGTGGTAGCAGTGTACAGTAGAGGGTTGTGGCCATGGGTGATATTTTTGTTAAATGGCTTACCCCTGTATAATGATATGTAAAAAAATTATAAAAATAAAACTGTACTTAAATTGGTATAAGCATGATGAAGTGGGCTATGTGAGCTTCACATTTGTAAAAAAGAAAGAAGATTTCTTTGGTTCGAGAATAAAATTTTGGCCATGATACGAAAGGGTGCGTACACATGAAAAGCTAGCTTTACAGGAGGTAAAATTTTGACAACAGCACACGACGCAAAATTGCAAAAAATCAAGTTTTACAATTTTACTGGGACCCAGATAATTCTGCAACCAGGTAGGTAATCTTTAATTTCAGACAGAGCTTAGGAAAAAAATTACTACTTGCGGGGGTCAAATTTTGGGTTAAAAATAGCATTTTTTGGCATTTTTTGGTAATTTTTGATGTGGTAACCATGGTTTTCACACAAGTGACATACATAGAAAAAAGAGGTTTATACACTTCTCAGTGCTTTATATGTATTGTAAATGTAATGCAGTTTACAAATATATATACATGTATACATGTGTTGTGCAGGGTAAATCCGCTGTGTTTACATTTCCTCGACATGTGCCTTGTTTATCAGAGTCGGGCCATTTCTACTGTATTCTGCTACCTGTACAGTCTCGTAAATCATAACAAATTTTTGTTTCATTCATACATAATAATTGTGCCATGTATGAAATTCATCATATGATGGATATTTGTACGCTGAAAACATGAAAATGAAATATTTTATGAAGTTCCGTTTTTATACAGAGGGAAAGAGAGAGAAAATTAACGATCTGCTGAAGTATATTGAGGAAAGATTGGCAACCCTTGAGGAAGAGAAGGAAGAACTGAAAGAATACCAAAAATGGGACAAAATGAGGAGGTGACAACACAGCCCAAACCCAATCATTTATTTATCATGGGGGGTTGATGCAATCAGTGTTATGGTTTTAGAAGGATTAGGTTTTTTTCTGTGAAATAAGTCACAACTCTTTGAGATTTTTAGAATTTCTAAGATTTCTTTGACATAGAGTTTGTGCATTCTTTTTCAAATTTGAGGTTTATTTTAACAACTGAGACCAGGTTCATGTTAAGTTTAATAACATCTGTGATAACAGATCCACAAACATTAGCTTCTATGTGGATGGTTCTTTCAATATGCAATTGTTTTCTTTGCTTTCCTGTTAATTTTCCTACTGATATCTGAGTAATCAGTCTTTTTTTCCAACCTTGTAGCTCCTATAGCTGAAGCTTTTCACTGTTTCTGTGAGAACGTTACTGATAGTGGATGACTTTTACCAGGACAAATTTCAGTTTCCTCTTGGATTACTTTTGCATTGTCATATTGCTTCAGTGTTAAAGTATTTATATATATCTTTATATATGTAGTGAAGTTTTTAAATCAAACTTTAAAAAAATATTTCTGGAATTATGAGTACTTTGGTGTTTTTGTCTGAAGTTGATTTTCTAAACGTCATTGAGCTACTGAAACGAAGCTTGATACATTATATATATATATATATGCAGACAGGTTTTTAGTATTTCACAATGTTTGAACGAATTGTATGGTTTTGCAGGTCCCTGGAATACACCATACATGACCATGAGTTGAGGGATACAAGAAAAAAGCTGGATGATGTAAGAATTTGTTCATAGACATGTAAAAATATTCTAGATCTTTCTATTTTGTCAATGAGGAAAATTGTTTGATTGTTTTGACAAACAACTTCATTAAGTACCAACCAGTGAAGGAATGGTTAAATTGAGTCTTCGGACTGTGATCCACTTTTTCATCCCTCCATCATTTTTTCAATTTTTGTCTGTGGTCTCCTTTCGGTTAATTAGTCCACTTTAATCATTTCTGGTACAGATATTCTTGGGTAGAAATTAATTTGAATAAGACTAGTTTATATGAATATAAATGAGATGGTTCAGAAAAGCAAAATATCCACCAGATAGCCATCTTCGAATTTGCATATAACGATTAATACTGATGTACCACAGAAACAGCTTTAGGGATATTTATGAAGCTTCTCGTGCATGAACTCCTCGATCCATATTCGAGATTTAAAATGAATTGGAAAATAAATAGCTTTATGGGTTGAACTGGAGAAGATAAGAACCCTTGAAATTTTAGGAGTGGTAAGTCAAAGGTCAAGGTCATTTACTAATGGTATGTATCAATCACATGTTGTTTACGGTTGAGAATGTGAGGTTCTTTGATGTGCAATTATACAGGAATAATAAGTACTCCTAATGAAGGACAGCCAACACTTTTATTTAATAAGGTGAAATTATATAGGAAATTTATTATTCTAGCTTCAAGATAAACGAGAAACAAGTGGTGTACAGACACAAAAATTACGTGACTCCCAGCAAAATGCCAACGACAAAGTGAAGGTAAGGATGTGGATAAAAAATGTTTTTTGAAGTGTTAAAAAATCCAGGATAGGCAAGAAGAATATTTAACTATTTCTTGAATAACAAAAAAAGTGGCAATGAATGCATCATTATTTAAATTTGTGTTGTGGTAATTTAATACCACCTTGCACTATAGTTCAGACAAGAATGTATTTTTAGAAACCTTAGTCATTAATGTAGACAAGCTGAGAAGTTTGAAGTAGATTATTTTAATTAGCTGTACTGTATGCTAGGCAACTTTTGCAGCAGTTTTTTATGCCATACCGCAGCGTCCGTCCATCAACTTTTCCTTTAAAACGCTACTAGTCATGAACGACTGAGCAAATTTGACCAAACTTGGTCAGAAGCATCCTTGTGGGAAGGGGAACAAATTTTGTATAAATGATGGGTGTGGGGCTGAGGGGCGGGCCCAATAGGGGAAATATAGCAAATTCTTTAAAATCCTTATTCTTCTGTAGGAATATAAGTATTTGTTCCAAATTTGGTCTGAAGCATCCTTGGGTGAAGGGGAACCAATTTTGTATAAACCGTGGGTCTGGCCCCCCAGGGGCCTCAGGGGTGGGGCCAAATAGGGGAAACATAGCAAATTCTTTAAAATCCTTCTTTTTCTGTAGGAATATAAGGATTTGTTCCATATTTGGTCTGAAGCACCAATTTTTTTATAAATCGTGGGTCTGGCCTCCCAGGGGCCTGAGGGGCGGGGCCAAATATGAGAAACATAGGTAAAACCTTTATAACCCTTCTTCTACCATAGGGATTAAGGGATATTATCCTAATTTAGTCTGGAGCATCCTTAGGCAAAAGCGACTAAATTCCGTTTAAACAGCGAGTGTGGCCCCCCTGGGGGCAGAAGGGAGGGGCCAAATAAGGGAAACAGCAAATTCTTGAAAATCCTTCTTCAGTAGGAATGACAGGATTTTTTTCAAAATTTGGTATGAAGCACTCTTGGGGGGTGAAGGGGAACAAATTTTGTATAAACGGTGTGTCTGACCCCCCTGGAGGCAGAGAGGTGGGGCCCAATAGGGGAAATAGAGGTAAAACCTTTAAAATCCTTCTTCTACCATAGGAATTAAAGGATTTTATCCTAATTTAGTCTGGAGCATCCTTGGGCCAAGGGAACTCTATTTTGTATAAGCAGTGGGTGTGGTCTCCCAGGGGGCAGAAGGGTGGGGCACAATAGGAAAAATAGAGGTAAAACTCTTAAAATCCTTTTCCGACCATCAGGATTAAGGGATTTTATCCATATTTAGTCTGGAACATCCTTGGGTCAAGGGGACTCAATTTTGTATAATTGGTGGGTAAGATAAAAAGTACCAAATTGAAATATCATAGTGTCGTTGCTTAGCAAATTACATACTAAAACTGAATGGAAGGCCTACAGACATCATCAACCAGCTTGTTTTCGGCAAAGTCTACTTATTTATACATAAATATGAATTTCCTGACAAAATAAAACACAAAAAAACATTTGAGTTCAAAGTGGTATTGAGTATTTTCTGTTCTGATAATGATGCCCGTTATACAGGCTATCAATAAAGATCTTCGAGAACTGAAGACAAGGATGCAGACCATTTTAGATGAAAAAGAACAAATTGCATCAGAAAATCAAGATCTGACCAAGAGGAAAGCAAAGTTTGAGCTGAATATTAAGGATATCCTAGATGATCTAGAAGGTGACAAAAAAGCCAGGGTAAGTTATGAGATGTTACTAAAAAAACAAATGGTTTTTCGCCTCATTAAATCACACATTTATATCAATCGCCTTGTTTAATTGTTGCTCTATATTTTTATGACAACTTTATTTCTCAAATTTTGCTTGTCATACAAAGCATGGTACAAAAATAATAACAAATGGACATGTTACTTTTCCAATATCCATCTATACATTTTCTGGATCTGAACTTTCCATTACAAATTCTAAAATTGAATAAATTTATAGAGGGTTAAGTCTTTATTCCTTTTTCAACAGTAAATTTGATAAAAATGTATCTTGATCAATTATGTTGGTAAATTTGAAATCAGGAAAAATTGCTTTAGAGAAAACGGAAAAATACATTTGAACTTTCTTTGGACAGAAAAAAACAGAAGAGGAGCAGAAGAAAGTGAATGAAAGAATTGCTAAAACACAGGCTTCCTTGGAAGCCATAACCCCCCAGTATGAGGCTCAGCAGAGTCGGGAAGAGAACTGCACTCAGCAGTGAGTCTGACACATTCCTGTCTCATCTTATCATGTTATTGCTTAACTTTTCCACTGTAGGAGTGAATTCTGGTGGAAATTTACTTGTTTCATGATGGTTCTTTTGTTTGTTTGGGGATTTTAAAGTCCTTGCAAACGGCCAGGGTCATATGATGACAGTGATTAAATTGTTATTAATCAATAATGAGTACTTTTTGCATCTCTAATTAAAAGTCACACTAGTAATCGTCCACAAGATATCTTCATACACGGTTCACACTCATTGCAAATCGGCATATACTTTTGAGTGAATTGCTGTGCTTAGAAAAAAAAAACAGCAGCAAGATATAAGGTTTGTTTTAAATTTAAATTGCTTCTTAATTTCACAGGCTATCTTTGGCTGAACAGAGGCGGAAAGAACTTTATGCTAAGCAGGGGCGAGGAAACCAATTCACGTCGAGGGATGAACGAGACAATTGGATAAAGAAGGAGCTCAAGTCACTGAACAGAGCAATTAAAGACAAGGAGGAACAGGTGGATACAATCAATGGAAATATTTAATTCACATACATTCTAGGCAGCAAGATGGCTGATTAGAGTGATTAACTTGAGTTCAGTAAAACTTCAGAAGCCATACAAGTCAATTTGACATGGAGAGGAATTATAAAAGTTGGAAATAGCATATAAAAAATTACTGGCAGTTTAATCCTAATATTGTTTGTTTCAATTCCTAAAAACAGATGTAAAACCTACTCCCATAACATGAGAGGCCGCTGGTCGGCCTTTTTTCAATCGGATATGATTTTGCCGACTGCGACCTCTCATTTCCGAAGCACTAATTCTTTGATGCAGTTTCCGCCCGAAATCCGGGCGGAACAAAATCGGCTTGAAAAACTCACGGGTTATATAATACAGATCTCATATATATGTCACAGACACAAATATATAGTATATTACGGAATAGAACACTCAAAATACATGTCCATGTCATTGTAGCACATCTCTGACCTACATTTAAAACATGGCTTCTAGATTAATACAAAATATCCGGGGGGATTTCAAACGTAACGAAATGATACGGAGTTTGTTTGTATTCCGCTTGTGAAACATTACATGTAATCCATTTTTGTATTAACCGGAAAAATCATGGCAAATGCTGTCTGCTTTGCTTCGAATGAGGAAAAACTCATTATTTATGTCTTTGACATGAAATTTTAGAGGTTACGCGGCGCCTGTCAAAAGTTTTTCGCCGTGTAAAACCTCTAACATTGTTGGAGTAATGTAAAACCATCATACTATGGCTGCTGAATCATCTTTGAACAAAAAGTTTGCTAAAACATTGGTCATATTTTTCAAAAAAGTATAATAAAAAAAATCAATGTTGAAATGTTGGTCACATTGACAAATCTTGTGTAATATTTATTAATTTTGTTAAAATGTTTTATTTACTCAAATTTCAGATTCGAAGATTGCGAGAAGATTTGACTAATGATACAAAAAGAGCTGAACATTTAAAAGTCAACATACAGGTATGTAGATCATTTCTAAGTCAATAAACAGGTATGATATCTAAAAGTTAGTATATTAATAGGGAGTCTCTAAATCTTCAATGATTCATACTACATGATGAAAATAATACTTATGAAATAACTAAATTTAGTTAAAGATTTCAAAAAACAAAAACCTGTTTATAACAAGTATTTGCATTTTTGAGCCTTAATGCGAAAACAATTACTTATTCCAGTGAAATGGTAATACAGTGGAACCCGCTTATTAGGATATTCTATTTGCCAGAGAAAAATATCATAATAGCCGATAATCATAATAACCAATCAAGCTAATTTTGATCATTTTTGTATCACCTGCCTGCGAAAAGCTGGCGACACATAGGTATTGATTTGTCGGTGTCGGCGTCGGCGTCCGCACAGAGGTTTTCGTGCGATAACTTGAGTTTCCTTGGGCCGATCAAACTCAAACTTCATGCAGTGCTTGCTTGGGATTGCTTTTCAGGTCCGAAGGTCAAAGGTCAAGGTCACTGTTACTATAAATAGAAAAAAAATATTGTGCGATAACTTGAGTTTCCTTGGGCCGACCAAACTCAAACTTCATGCAGTGCTTCCTTACCAAAAGTGCTTGCTTGGAATTGCTTTTCAGGTCCGAAGGTCAAAGGTCAAGGTCACTTTTACTATAAATAGAAAATCTGTTTTCGTTCGATAACTTGAGTTTCCTTGGGCCTTTCAAACTCTAACTACATGCAGTGCTAAGCACAATCTCCCAGCTTCCTGTACAGGCGATACATCCACTTTCGTGGAATTCTTGTTATGTTGTCTGAACCAAAAGTGAGTGAAACCCGACATTAGAGAATTTCGCTAATTAAATGCACAACATTCATACAAAAACAATATGTTTGTTGACAGAACCTTATAATTATTGAAAAACATGGATTTGGAAATGAAATTGATGATGTTTGCAATGTCCATATGCTGTGACAGCTGCATCTCGTATTCAGAAATGCTGTGATGGATTGGCATTCACCTGATGACACCCCGTCAAACTTAACATTTATTTGTAAGATAGCCCACACTTTCGACAAAGCGTTTTATCCAGCTAAAGGAGGAACAATACCTTCCAAACGTTTAAATCAGCAGCCCCCGGATGATCATAGAGTTGAATCTCCGGAATGTCACGGTTTGCCATATTGTCACGCATTGACTGAGCCATGCAGCATTTCTATTGAAACGCAAGTTCTGATTGGTTGTCAGGTGGACCAGCTAGCCAATCATGATCAGCGTCGTCGTTGTGTGGGACATTGGGTCAAATTGTTTTGCCAAAGAACGAACAACTCGCTGTCGGTGGTAATAACACTAACTATACGAGTTCATTTTTTGTTAATACTTAAATTAGTCAAACTGTAATCGTTCATTGAAAACAAGGATCGATTAATCAATTTTCAGAAACAAACAACCAGACGTCGACTAAATCGATTAATCGGAACAACACTAGGTAACCGTGAATGTTTGTGAAAGGCATGCTCGTTTTCTTATCAGATTGTTGGAAAATGTTGGTAGGCCTAATCATTTTGATTTGACACACAGTCCTACTGTGTATTTTCGATAGTAATTAACTGCACCACATGTTTTGTTAAGATTTAAATGTATCACCAGCAAGCGATGGTCGATCTATTGTTTTCCGCTGACTTGGGTGAAGAGAGGTGTGAAAAATTTACCTGGAGTGGACAGGTGATCACCTCTGGCAATGTACAGTTAGCCGGACCTATTGCTTAATAGTCCAGGTGTTTCACACTGACAACTTACCTGAGTGTTTTACCTTATAAAATCCATTCACGGCAGAAAAAAATATCATAATAAGCAGAGCGGGGTCCCACCTTTGACCATATCATAATTTGCTTAGTTAAAGAAGGAAAAAATCGGTGTATGGGAAAATATCATAATAAGCGATATATCATAATAACCGATATCATAATAAGTGGGTTACACTGTATCGTCATAAAAAAAAATAGATGATCCAAAAATATCAATAAGGAATATTGCATTGGATCAGTTTTCTTTTTGTTAAAAATTGTGTGATTAAAAGGATTGGTTTGGTATGTGTGTGTTTATATCCTATGAACATCTATGGTCATTTAAGGACATTTGAATTTTAAAAACTGAATTGTGAAAGTTAAAACCCATGGAAAATGCATTGATAATTAATTTCAGGACATAGGTAGCAAGACTGACCAGAACAAGGATATCATAGACCAGAACCAGAGAAGTTCATCAGACATGAAGAAAGAGAAGGAAACCATCCACAATGATAGAAAGTAGGTATTCTAATCATGAAAGATATACCACGGTTGTTGGCTGTACATGGCTAAACGTCCTGTCAACAGCTAAGATCATTTAAGGACATGAAATACCATGGTAATGCATGACAAAGTCTGTCGCAGTTTATTACAGAACATTGTTGTTGGGATTTTACAGAATTTCACCTTTTGATTATGAGGAATTTTACATGGAAATTGTACTTTTGCTTCAAGTAAATTTTGATATTTGAATTGTTTGCTCTTACATCTAAGTGTCCACCTGCCATATTATTAGAGCCCTGGAGTCTTAGTATCAGAAGAAAATGTCGCTAGGTGTATCAGGAGTTAACATTATGCTCGTTACTTACTGTTTCTTTTCCTCCAGTGCTATGTGGAGACAGGAAAACATCATGCAGCAGGAGTTGGTCGGTATCCGTGAGGAGCTCAGTAAAAAAGAACAGGCTCTACGTTCAATGACGGGCAAAGTGAGAACCACTTAAAGCATTTGTTTAATATGACCTTTGGAAGTGCTAGTTTGATATTTCAATTGCTCTTATAAAATCACCTGGTCGTTTCAGAGTATATTGACCAAGTAAATGAATTTAATACATTTTTGCTTGTTGCAAAAACACAGGAGGCCAAAAAAAATGTTTAAAATGACTTGAAGCATGATTTTAGAATATTTCTAATCTTGAGTGCAGAATGTATAGTGTCACATGTATACTGTAAAATTAATTATTATACAAAGTCTGGAAGGATTTACTGTTCTAGTAAATAATTACATATTCAAACTATTTGTAAGATGTGAAAATTAAATGTTTAGTATCTTGATGCTATATACAGATTATCAGCTAACTCTTTTGATACCTTTGCCTAGGATTCCTGGCCAATTATTTTTAAAACTGATTGTTCAAAGCAAAGAAATACTGACTGGATTTTAAAAAAAATGTACTTGATAATTAAAGAAGAGTAAAATTTTTATTATATAAAATGGTCCACGTCACTTTGAGATATCTAAAAATATCCTGGAACAGATGCAGGATATTAAATAAACCTTGAAACACAATTCTTTTGATAATTTTACCAGGCAATTTTGAATGGAATAGATAGTGTCCAAAAAGTGATACAATCTTTCCGAGACCAGCGGAAATTTCCTGAGGTGTGTGATGGCTACCTGGGTATAATGATCGAGAACCTGGACTGTGAAAAAGCTTTCTTCACGTGTGTGGAGGTCACGGCGGGCAGCAGGTAAACTGACTGAAGTAGCACAAAACAAATACTAAAAACAATTATGATATTAAGAATGTTGGAGACTATATTACATCTATAGCCATTTTGAAAAACATTTTATATAAAAACCCTTGAACATTTCAAATTTCCTGCCTTGGACTTCATTTACACTTTTACAAAAAAGGTCCTTGCATCTAAGTTGTATTATACAAAAAATATTGCCAAAAGTGATAGATAGTACATGGTTGATAGTACATGGTGATTGTTGGCACAGTTCTAGTAGAAGTGATAGATAGTACATTGTTGATAGTACATGGTGATTGTTGGCACAGTTCTAGTAGAAATAACCAGGGTGCCCAACAGAGATGCTTTGCTCTATAGTAATCACAGTACCCTTCTGTCTGTCCATCCACATATTCATTTCTGGAGATTGTCAACAGAATCCAGAATTTCTGATTTTTCCCATATTGGTACACTTATAGTCATTTTTTTGCACAGTTTTACTGCCAAATACAGGCTGTTTCCCTTGGTGGATATTTTCCCAAAAGGACCAAAAACCTAGGACTATTTTCCTAATTCAAATACAAATTATGCTATATTTTCCCCAATTCATTAAGGAACAGGCTGTTGTAAAATTTAGGTAACAAAAACACTGTTATACATTGTTATATATATGTGGATATGCAATAGGGGTTTAATAAGTTTAAGGTCAAGGTCATGAATGGGGGAGGAGATGTACTGTCAGAAACACATTGTTTTTCCCTTTTCTTTTTGGCAATAGGTGGTATTTGGCAGTGAGCCTATGTGAATAACACCATATTATCTTTATCCTGAAGTCGCAGATAGCCACCCGTCCCTGTCACTGTTAGTAAAAATACCCTGTACTTTGTTGACTTTATATAAAATCAGTCATGCATGAAAGTTCTACCATTTAATGGTTACATACTTATTTCTGCTGATTTTATCTCTTCAGATTATTTCATCACATAGTTGACACGGACAGAACTGGCACAAAGATTTTGGCCGAGATGAACCGGCTCCGGCTACCAGGAGAGGTAACCTTTATGCCACTCAACAGACTGGATGCCCGTGACACCCCCTACCCCAACATAAGTGTGAGTACTGATGTGTGTAACTAAACGTTAAAGGGATTATAGGCAATGTCTTGAATATGCTTCCAAACAAGTTATATTCAGTCTTTCTCCCATCCCAGTAGGTACTTCAGTTTACCTCTTTATTTAATGAAGCTTGGATATCTACATGAAATTACTGTTGGTCGTTAGTTTATATAAGATAGTGATTTGTGTTTTGAAAATGGTAGTGGATTTCTGTGGTAAACTTTGCTTATATTTTTGAAAAAATGTCTCCTCATGTGAATTACCCTTTAAGCATTTGAGGACAACATCAAATCAGCACATAAAATCATGACTAGTTAGTGTATTGTCTATCACTGGTAAACTTAAACATTAGCAGCTCTGATCATGATGTTAGAATTTCTTACTGAGGTCATAAACCTGTCAACATAAGAATGTACATTTAATAACACAGACGACTTGTTCATGAAAACATTTTTCCACACAGGATGCCATCCCAATGATCAGCAAGCTCAATTATGATCAGCAATTTGCTCGTGCAATAAAACATGTCTTTGGTAAAACCCTGATTTGTCGGAACATTGAGACTGCAACCCAGATAGCTCGCACACAGAATCTGGATTGTATAACTCTGGATGGTAAGTTATAGCTACTGGAATTAAAAGTGGTTTTCTTTATTTTGTTTGCTCCCATCATTTTAAGGAGGGATGTACAGTGTTAACCATGTCCCTCTGTCCCACCCCAATTTACTGTCATCACTCTAGCATAATATCTAGCATAATACCAAGGTCAAGTATAAGAAAGCTAAAAAAGATGTCATAATTCAGGGTTCTAAGGTCAAGACTAAGGTCACTGATACTAATTATAGAATCTTGACAACCAACTGTTTGACATCACTCTAGCAAACTTCATTTCCTTAACAGATTTCAATCAAATTGTATGATGAAAGTCAAATTTTGATGAAACTTTATACAAAGGTTAATGAGCCGGGGCATTCATGTCTTGCAGAATTTCTCTTGGTTAGAAAATATCCAGAAACTTTCCTTAATTCAAAATATATTAAAATCAAACCACTGCAAAATGCATTGTTTATGCTTTATGTATTTTATCTTCCAGGTTAAATTTTTAGATATGAAATATGTACATGCTATTTTGTTGAGTAATGAAGAAAGAATTGGCAGTGATGTTAGGTTAATCATTTCAAAAGCTTCGTTCAGGTGCATTATTAAAAATCAAGACTTAAGAGATAATTCTGTTTGGTTGTCTGCATCTGATAATTTTCTAAGGAATAACAAGAGTTATCAAATTTCTGTTTGGTTATCCCTATATTCTGTTATACTTTCAACAATGTCTTTTGTTTCCCAAGGTGACCAGGTGAGTCGAAGAGGTGCTCTAACTGGTGGTTTCTATGACACAAGGCGATCTAGACTTGATCTGCAGAAGAGCAAGCTTGAATTACAACAGAAACTTGATACACAGGAAAAGGAATATGCATCTCACAAGTCCAAACTGGAGGTCCTGGAAGCGAAGATCAACAACCTTGTTAGTGAGATGCAGAAAACGGAAACAAAAAACAGCAAAAACAAGTATGCAGACCATCGTTGTTTCCTTTTAACTGTATGCCAACTAAAAATATTAAGACTTAAACATCGTGTCTTGAAAAATGGGCCTTATAGCAGATTTAACATTTAAAGAAGAAGCACAGAGTTCACTCCAAAGTTGAACTATGCTTTCTGAATCAACTACCATAATGATCAGTTAGAGAAGACAGTGATAGTGCGACAATAAGACGGGACTAACATCACAAATAGCGATACAGTCCTTAGATAGTGATATATGCTCTTAATGTCTTCCAAATCTATTCAGCTGTTCAAATTGTGAGTTTTTGATAGCAAGATACATACTGTACTTTCAACTTGCAGAGACACATTTGACAAGATGAGAGCAGATCTAAGGTTAATGACAGAAGAATTGCAATCCATTGAGAGATCCAGGTCCCCCAAGGTTGGTATATGATTTGTTATTAGGAAGGACGCTCATTATATAAGGTGGTCAAATTGGAAAATTTGTGAAAATGGATTCAATTTGCTGTTGGGATATCGAAAAAATCCAAAGTTATGCAACAAATGATTGCTTCTTGTGTAGTTGATAATCAGTGTTCCATGTAATAAGATTGGTTATTGAAAGTCAGGTCAGTGCGAGACGTCAAATTTATTACTTACTTGATTAAGATATGAAGTAGCTGAGAAGGGGTTAAGAATTCTATAATGTGTAAGGTTAGAGTCAATATTGTAAAGACTGCTGTGTACCGTGTAAGGTTAACAAACAAAGATGTGCCTTTGGTCCACAGGAAAAGAGTGTAGCCAGTTTACAGACGAGTTTGGAGGCAATGCAGGGCTCAGCAGCCTCCCTCAATGAAGAGCTAGGCTCAGATCTTCTGTCTCAGCTGAGTGTGGAGGACCAGCGCGAGGTGGACTACCTCAATGATCAGATCAAACAGCTAACCCAGCAGAACAAAGAGGCCCTTACAGAGCGTATACGGGTAAGGAATGTCTAGGACTGAATTGAGTTGTAAGGCCACCACTTCATTTCAAATTTGAGGTTTTGTCGGGGCAGGTAGAATTCCTGGTCCGATGGCCTGTGGCAAGTCAATTTGGTCTGCGGGCAAGTTAAAATGTCTACTTGCCTGATGGACCAGTACAAAATTTTCTATGGAATAATACTATACTTACAGTACACTGTTTTATTGCTTAACAAATATACAGTGGACACTCAAAATAGCTTTGTTTCTGGGTCAAATGCCATGTAATTGTTATAAGGCATGCTTCTATGACGTGTACACGTATGGTAAATTATGCAGCATTGGAAGATTGAATAGAGATATTTCAAATCTGTTCAATAGCTGCTTTATACACTGTTCAGTACTTTTTCTTTATTATCAGATCAGTTATTTTTGCATTCTTTAGGTACCACAAGTTCTTTCAATATTCTTAAACAGAGAACTCACAGAGGATTGTCTTAGGTTGTATAAGGCCACAGACAAAATTTTGAGTGGTCCCACAGTACACAGTTGGTACGGTTCTGCCAGCACAGCTTTTATACAACGCTCCCTAATATAACGCTGGTTCTGATTGGTAGTTGTCGTCAACAGGTGGTTGCATTGTCCAATAACTGTTGTCCTAACAAACATGGAGAGGAACTCTGAGGACTCCGTTACGTTGAAATGTCCGGCATCATTCCGGTCCCCTGTCTGGGGATACTTCGGATTTCGCTTAGGCAAAAACAGGCAACACACCAAATATGGCTACCCTTCTAAAGAGGAAGCTTGACCTTTTTTTTCGAGATGAAGGCATCGATATTGTCATCACTGGCATCACAGAAAAAGTTATCAGGAACAACAAACCCCGGAAATTATAACTATTAAGTAACAGTCAGATGCGTCTTCCTGATGTTTTCAATCAAAACAGCAAAGGGCGGATTCATTGCTGTCTATATGAGTCCGTTTTAGGTAGTTGAGAATGCCGGGTTTCAAAACATGCTTTACATGTTGGAACCTAGTTACACATACAGGGTGACAAGTAGAACATGGATGATCTAGAGCTATGATTCTAAATGTTTTATAAGATTTTATTTTTTTAAATTGTAAAAAAAATTAAGCACTTTTAACACTCTACTGCAAGTTCACTCCATTCGGGAAGAAGATATTATCTTGATTATTTTTGTAAAATATTGTCCATTAGTGTAAAAAAAAAAGCATCTTTTATAAGATTGTGTTTGTATTTTACAATTGTTATTTCTTTTTCTTCATTTAAAAGTGTTGTATCATATCGAAACGTACCGAACCGTGAATGCTGTACTGCAACACATATTGTATCGTGAGGTAGGCGTATAGTTTCAGCCCTAGTACCCCCTCCCTCTTCCGAACCACAATCCCTCCCTCCTTTGGTCTTCTATACAACTACGTTAGTTCCCCACATTCATATATTATAAATCTTAATTTCCTTTGCCCCTTCATATATTTATATCTAAAATATCCCTTGAATATAGGGTAAAGTAAATTTTCTTTTTATTTTATGATGGGCAGGGCTATAATATACTGGAGAAACAGCTTGTACAATTCACGTTATTATTTTTCATTACCATCAACAGCTAGAAGGTGAGAAGAACAAACTAGAGAATCTCCTCCACAACAATCTAATGAAAAAACGAGACCGGATAATCCACGAGTTACAGGAAGTATCGGAAGAAGAACGGCGGGCCAGACTTGAAACCTTCAATTCAGACCTTGCCACTGCTGATGATAGGATTGTGTATCTCAAAAAGCAATCCAAAGGTACTGTTCTTTGTATAGAAAATGTTCGTTACAAAATGTACAGAACTTGATTTGATGACATCTGTATATTGTTAAGTCATAATGCAGCGAAATGTATTTTTTGATTAATTAAATTAATGATGATTTTACGTTTGTTTGGTAAGATTGGTACTAGTACTACTTAATGTTTTGAATATGGAAATTAAACCATCTATGAAATAGAAACTTTTTAAAAATTCAAAAGAAAAAGTTATGTCTTTTTAGGTCACCTGAGCTCTGCTCAAGTGACCTATTCTGATCGTTTTCCGTCCGTCGTCTTGCATAAACTTTTTACATTCTCAACTTCTTCTCAAGAACCAGTGGATGGATTTTTTTCAAACTTTGTCAGAATCATCCTTGGTAGATGAGGCTACAAAATTGTAAAATTGGAAGACCTACTCCAACCCAAGGGGCCAGGGCGAGGCCCCACAGGGAAAGTTAACCAATATTTCAAAAATCTTCTTCTCCAGACTCTGAGGTACTACAGTCAATTTCTCTGCATAGATGGAAAGATCATCAGGGGCTTTATTGAAATTGTAAATTTCATTACTCCCGGGCCATCCGTTTTTCCCTTCGGGAGGGGGTTAAGTTTATTATAGTTTATATAGTGAAATAACACAATTGGGTATATTTTGTTCATTTCAGTAGGAAATTAAAAGGGGGAAACCAAGTTAGTCTGGCAGATATCTTTTACCTTTCATGTGTGATTGGGGAGTCGACCAATGGCCATCTTAGTGAAAGGAGCTAAAGCTATCCCTGCACCACCAAACCACCATTTTGAACAGTTTGTTAGATTGGGGGTTTGGAAAAACCATGTCTGTATTCTAGTATTTATTTAATTGATTTGTTTCAGAACTGGATGACCAACTAGATAAGATGAATAAAGAGCAAAAGAATTTACAGAACAATTTGGAATATTGGAAGGTTAGTTAAGCATAATTTATTTGAAATATTAGAGTCAACCATATGTTAGGTATTTAAAGAAATAAAGGCTTAATGCATTTCCTACTGTTCATAATTCATAAGACTTGTTTGGTGTTAAATTACTATTCCTTCATGATGAGGTCATTGAGGAAAAAGAACTTTCCATTCATATGATTCAAAAAGCATGGTTTAGGTTAAGTTCAAGGTGCTTTTGTTTTGTACATCATGCATGACAAAATATAAAATATAAATTATGCATGCAAGGCACTCTTTTAATGTTTGCCATGTTTTCATATTTTTATACAAATAATTCTTCCTGTAAAATCTGAAAAAGATAGTGACATTGATTCTTGAGCAAACTGCCGTGGACAGTGATGTTCTGAGCACAGATTTATGAGGTAATGAACCGACCAGATCCATTTTGCTACCTTTAACTCTGGGTTGTTAATTGATATAATATGTATGACATATTGTTAACCTTGTTTTACCAGGGGCAGGAAAAAGATAATAATGACAAAATCAGTGATGATGCAAAAGAGCTGGAAAAGATGACGAACAAGCAATCTTTGTTATTGAAAAAGGTAAGTTTGGATATATCACAACGGACAACTATAAACACAGAACATTGACATACTGCTGTAAAAGTGGGTATAGAGGAGTGAAACTCTCTACTGCAGTGTATTACTGTGGTAATTTTCTCCCGGTTTGGCACACTGTACTTTGGTTTCAGAACAAAAGAATTTTACAGCAACAGTTGCTGATATAAATATAAATATTTAATTGCTTGATGTGCCTCTAGTACTCCTTTAAATATACTTTATACAACAGTAATGAACACTAACAATGCGTACTAAACCGTGTGCCGTTTCATCCCTAGTATAGGTATGCTACAATGAGTCGGTATAGGTATTGTACAGTAAATGTTGATAGATGGAAAGCTTGTATGTATTTTATGATAAAGATATATAGGTAAAGACTACAATAATAGGTACTGTACAATGTGTGTTTGTTCCCATGTTATCGGGGATAGCAAATCACAGACAATAGGCTTGTACTGTGGCTCAGTATCTGAAGCTTGTTTGGTAACGGCTTTTTTAGTAAAACATTATTGTGTGTGGTTTAACATCTGCACAACAGCTAAGGTCATATTAAGACGGGTGCTTAGGGAGATACTGAAGGTCGTATTAAGACAGGTGCCTAGGGAGATACTGAAGGTCGTATTCAGACGGGTGCCTAGGGAGATACTGAAGGTCGTATTCAGATGGGTGCCTAGGGAGATACTGAAGGTCGTATTAAGACGGATGCCTAGGGAGATACTGAAGGTCATATTAAGACGGGTGCCTAGGGCGATACTGAAGGTCTTATTAAGACTGGTGCCTAGGGAGATAATGAAGGTCGTATTAAGATGGGTGCCTAGGGAGATGCTGAAGGTCGTATTAAGACAGGTGCCTAGGGAGATGCTGAAGGTCGTATTAAGACGGGTGCCTAGGGAGATACTGAAGGTCATATTAAGACGGGTGCCTAGGGGGATACAGAAGGTCGTATTAAGACGGCTGCCTAGGGAGATGCTGAAGGTCTTATTAAGACAGGTGCCAAGGGAGATACTGAAGGTCGTATTAAGATGGGTGCCTAGGGAGATACTGAAGGTCGTATTAAGACAGGTGCCTAGGGGGATGCTGAAGGTCGTATTAAGACGGGTGCCTAGGGAGATACTGAAGGTCATATTAAGACGGGTGCCTAGGAGATGCTGAAGGTCGTAAAAGACAGGTGCCTAGGGAGATACTGAAGGTCGTATTAAGGTCGTGCCTAGGGAGATACTGCTGAAAAGAAGTATATCTAAATATAAATATGACCTCAGCCTTTTAGTCATTTATCGGCATATATCTACATATTTAGGTTGCTTTGTTTCCTTTGAATCAGTTTGAAATGTTCTCCAATATATTTATTTCCTTTTTTTTGTCCACAGAAAGATGAATGCATGCGGAAAATTCGAGAACTTGGATCATTACCTAGTGATGCTTTTGAAAAGTACCAGAATTTAAGTTTAAAACAGGTATGAACAGGGTACAATGATTTTACTACTTGGTCTCAAATATAAAAATGTGGTTCATATAAAAAGCCTTCTTAAACATGCATAAAATGATGCATATATATTTAAGTGTGTGTGTGTGCAAATGAATTGCTCATTTAAAGTTAAACTTCCAAACTAATCTCTATTGACTCCACTGTATTGTGTAATATTAGTTTGGAAGATTTTTTAATAAGATGAATAATTTTAAATTTTACAGGTTAGTATCTGATTTTCTCTCAGAAAATTGATTACTATTCTAATGATGAATATTTGTTTTTCAGTTATTTAAAAAACTAGAACAGTGTAATCATGAACTGAAGAAATATAGTCATGTCAACAAGAAAGCCCTGGACCAGTTTGTAAACTTCTCCGACCAGAAAGAGAAGCTGATAAAAAGGAAAGATGAACTAGACAGAGGCCATGAGGTAAGCAATGCTGACATTCCCTCCTCTTTTGATACCAGAACCTCCATTGAATAACAACATTTGCATATGACCATGAACTTGGCAAAATATTTTGTCAGTACAAATAAATATTGAATAATAACTTTATTAAATACCCTCAATAAGTTTTCTTTCCTACCTTGTTTTTGTGTAAAAAAAAATGTCACAGCTGCAATTCTAATTGTTATCCAAACATCAAACTTCATATGTGTTTAGTTTAAAATGTTTTAAAATATGTCTAGCACTTTCTTCATTTTTAAAGTTAAAGCTGATAATTTTGTTTTCAGTCCATCTTAGATCTGATGAATGCATTGGACCACAGGAAGTATGAAGCCATTCAGTTGACATTCAAACAGGTAGGTAAAATATCCTGACAGTGTAAGCTCTAGTATACAATAAAGAGTTGCATAGACTGATGTGTTACTTTGATATATTTTGAAATGAAAATGACAAGTCAAGTTATGACTCCTTACTTAATAAGTTTACTTGATAATGATGTTGTTCTGAAATATTTTCTATCATAAAGAAGGAAGTGTAAGTTTACATGGGGGGGGGGGGGGGGGGGGAAGCATTAACTTGATTGTAATGTGACATGCTTCAAGACGTGTTATATAATAATTAGGTACTTTTGATAAGGATCACAAAATTCACCAACAACAAACTTGCAAAATATATTCTCATCAATGGGGAAAGTTTCAGCGTGTATTTTGGATACTTTGCAGGTTTCCAAGTATTTCAGTGAGATATTCAAGAAACTTGCTCCTCAGGGACATGCTGTGCTGGTGATGAAGAAAGGCGACCATGAACAGAATGTATGTATACAACTGATCATATGTCATTTATCATTTTACAGAGTTTTGTCGCTTGACAAATTTCTGTGACTTTCACAGGCAGTTACTATATTAAATCATGTAAGCTGTAATATAGACATGTATGGTTAGGGCAGTAACTCTCGCTGACAGAGAGTCATTTGGTAATAATGGTGCATTCATGGTTTACTCCTTGCGCCATCGATTTAAAATCAAATCTTAAATAGGTTTTGTATTGTGACAAATTTGTTGCTTAGGTCCAGTTTGGAGAATTAAAAAACAACAGAGGACATACATGAAATCTGTACAACTAGATGAATAATGTACCAGTAATGTATGAGAATCTTTACTAATACATAGGAACCATTCTAGTCTTGCTTTAAAATTGCAGTATGAACATTGATTTATAAATGGAAGTTTTCAAAGACTTGACAACAAATTTTACATGATTGTGGACTTTTTGTCAGGGTGAAGATGATGATTCCCCACAAGCAGATGTTCCATTGGTAGAACAGTTTACAGGTGTTGGCATCAAGGTAACATACGAGGATAATTACAAACAAGGGTGGGCAAATGTATCAAATAAATGTGGGAATGGTAAACATGTGTAGTCAATGTGTCTAAAACCTGGGCAATTACAGGCTACGAGTGTCACAGCTGAAGAATCTGAAAACAGAATATGAACACAGCTGAGCCACAACATCTAGAAAAGGGAACTATGAGTAACAGTGAGCTAAGGCATCCAAAGCATTAGGAAATTACGAATACAGATAGGAAATGTCTCAAGCCCGAGGAATAAAAGGATAGGTTTGACAAAGATATCAACACCTTGGGAATTATAGAACATAGGTGTTTTGTTGAAGTACAGATATCTGGGGAATTATAGAACAGGTGTTGTGTTGAAGTACCGATATCTGGGAAATTATAGAACATACGTACCGATACCGGGGAATTATAGAACATAGGTGTTGCGTTGAAGTACCGATATCTGGGGAATTAGAGAACATAGGTGTTGCGTTGAAGTACCGATATCTCGGGAATTATAGAACATAGGTGTTGCGTTGAAGTACCGATATCTGGGGAATTATAGAACATAGGTGTTGCGTTGAAGGAATTCAGGTCATTTAGGTACCTGGTCGTTTAGGTACCCGGTCATTTCGGTACTTCTGAGAGTCGTTTCGGTACTTTTGAAAGTTGTTTCGGTACTTATGGAAAACACACTTTGGTACCAAGTTTTAGTCAACGTCACCACTTTTTGCGTGCTGTATACCTTCAAAGGAAGTAACTCTAAGTCAAACTTGTGCTATAATACACGTGTTTGTATCAGATCAGAACAACGCCGTCACACTGAATACATGTATCATCCGAAGACATGAGTTTTTTGATAAATTTGATAGCGGAACTGCCATTTTTATGACAAGTTGGTGAATTCCCTCAACGTTGAGTTTCTCTCCTAAAGAGCTACTCCGATCTACTCAGCTGCTCAATTAAAAAAGCAAACGTTAAATAAACAACCATCGCGTATGTTGCGGGATCACGTCTGAAGTTCGAAAACAATGACTTGATTGTTTAAACAACTACAAAAGCAAACGTTAAATAAACAACCAACAATAAATAATATTTATTAACTAATAAACGAATGACAAATGAGAAATATTTATTAACTGAAGAACGAAGTTCCGAAAAAATTGTTGGAAGTACCGAAACAACTTACAAAAAGTACCGAAACTACCGTGTACCGAAACGACTGTACCCCCGTTGAAGTACCGATATCTGGGGAATTATAGAACATAGGTGTTGTGTTGAAGTACCGATATCTGGGGAATTATAGAACATAGGTGTTGTGTTGAAGTACCTAAACTGACCAAGGCCAGAAAAGGACCAGCAGCTTTAGTATGGTATGTTAACTGAGTGCTGGACTTTGTGTTGTAGGTATCGTTCACAGGAAACAGGGCAGAGATGAAGGACATGTTACAGCTGTCTGGAGGACAAAAGTCACTAGTGGCACTCACACTTATATTCGCCATTCAGAAATGTGACCCCGCCCCCTTCTACCTATTTGACGAGATCGATCAAGCATTAGACGCACAGCACAGGAAAGCTGTAGCAGGTACATAGTGTTGATCCTACATTGTTTCATAATTAATCAAATGGAGTTCCCCTCTTTTTGAAATTTTATGGAACCAATGGGGAAAAAAATACTGAATCCTCTACTATTGATTTGTTCAATTCAAGACATTACTGAGAGCTGCTTTTATCTCCTAGCAACATAGTGGAAGGGGCCTTAATCAGGGTTTTCAACCTCAAGTATTGCTTGCATGAATGTTTTGCTCTGTAACTCCAGATTTGATCATTTGATAGCCTTAGAGCTGTTGGTTTGTTCAACTGATATAAAAATTGTTACAGTGATAAAAAATATAAAAGAATGATTATGCAAATAACGAAGGCAATGAAAAGTAATTTGAAAAAAAGGATAAATGCATTTTGTTGAAATTGCGTACAGACATGAATGCAGAAAGATTGGTGGGTTTTGTCGTAATTCTGATAATATTCCTGGCCATAGATACAAATGAGGTTTGTGGGTTTATGTATTTGTTTGTTTTGCTGTATATATAAACTTATGACCCTGTTACTCTGCTGACAGATATGATCCATGAACTGGCTGGGGATGCTCAGTTTATCACCACTACGTTCCGGCCAGAACTCCTTCAGCATGCCGACAAATTCTATGGTGTCAAGTTCAGAAACAAGGTCAGTGAAATTACTTTTAACGATGTGCACCTCTGGTCAGATCAATTACAAACAACAATAGATGTCAAATGTAAAAGGAAGTTGATATTGAGTACAGTTGTTTCACTTCCTCGTGAAAAGATTCTTTCAAAACTGAGAAAATGTCTATTATAAAGTTCACACAGGCGTTGTAAAGCCCTAAAATTGATGAAAATGGCCTAGAAGCCCTTAAATTTAACAAAAAGGTTGTGAAAGGATGAAAATGAGCATTTATTGAGATAAAATGATCCTTAAATTATGATTGTTTATTAATTTTGGTTGTTTTTCTCATAAAAATGAATTAAGAAAATAAAATTAAATGTTTGTTTTGAGTGAGTTAATTTCTAGATATTTGGACTAACCAATCAGTGGTACACCAAACTTTCACTGTGAATTTACTTGTGGTTTTCATGGTCGCAGTAGAAACATAGTACAGTAAATACTGAAATAACTTGTCTGCAAATGTACCAGCATGCCAAACAAGTTTGAAAGTTATCACAAAATTTCATGTTATACAATAGATGGATTGATAGATGGACATGCTTGTGGCCTAAGATTCAGTTACCATTGATGGCAGGCTGAGGTGTATGTACTATTCAGGGAACACATGATATTTAAATAAGCGTTTGAGTTGTGACAAGCTAACGCTTTCCTATTCTGATATATATGTATGTTTTTGTTTTGCAGGTGAGTCATATTGAGTGTGTGAGCCGTGAGGAGGCCGAGGACTTCGTAGAAGATGACACCACACATGGATGAGGAGAGAGTGTAGGTCTAGATGGACAAGCAACTCCTTCAGGCATCCTGGTCTGGAAACACATTCAGCAATAACAACTGTGTGGTACCTACCAGGAACTTCTCTACAAAAGGCAGCATTTGTTTGTTAGAGTTAAATGTGGTATCTGTGTTCAGGTGACATCAGCTGGCCCAGAGTGGCATCTGTTTGTTCAGGTGACATCAGCTGGCCCAGAGTGGCATCTGTTTGTTCAGGTGACATCAGCTGGCCCAGAGTGGCATCTGTTTCAGCTGGCCCAGGGAGGCATCTGTTTGTTCAGGGTGACATCGGCAGTAACATCTACATCTTAAGGTAGAAATGCCATGTAACTCGTACTTATTGCAGCACTTGACATAATTACGCAACATCACAAACAAAATCTTGGAACCATGACAGTCTAATGTCGTACAAGGAAATTTGACTAGTTTATTCAATTATGCACACAAAAAAAGTTCAAATGTTTAATTTATGCTGTTAAGAAATTGAATGCTGAGGTACATGTGCGATACTCGTTCAATAGTGTTCGATCATGGATATTTTCTAAAAAGATAAATACTATTGATACATTGTGATGGACAATGTTTATGTTTAAAGTCAATATTATAGATTGTTAATGTTTGGTTTAAACATCTTACTGGTGTTAAAAGATAAAAAGCTTTATGAAAGTCTAGGAATATGTAATGTGCTATTTTAAAAAGGGAAGTTCAGATCATGTTTGGTGTACATTTTTTAATTGACAATTATTAAGGTTGCCATCTCATTAATCATAAAATCATTTATAGTATGTATTGGTAGGATTGCAGAGAGAGAGGGGGGCATACAGAGAGAGAGAGAAGGGGGGGGGGTTGATTCATACACAAATGGGCGATACATACACAGAGAGAGAGAGACGTACACAGTTAACCCCGTAGTGAGAGAGAAGGATGCAGTTTGAGAGAGTAAATTATAGGATGTTTTTCCCTTTTTCATTGTTGTCATTCATCGTATGAACGTCATGGCTACATCTTGTGTGTTAAGGACAACACATCTGACAAGTATGATATAGTTATAAAGAACTGATAACACAATAGGGAAGGACCAATAATCTTGCAACAATGCAACCCTTTTTTAATGCGAGCATCTTAATTTGGTACAAATACATGCTGAAATGTATTATAATATTATTTGGGAGGGATGTGAAGTGGTCTCCGAGAAGGTCTGCTGAAAATAAATCTTGATTCACAATTAAATGCGTTAATAGCTACTGCTGTATTGGGTGATCTTTGTAAAGATGGTGATTTAGGCCAGTAGAAGTATTAGGAAGTTTTCTAGAAAGCTATGGATGAGGGATTGGGTGGGGAGGATGCACCTAACTTGCACCAAAACACAAGTTAAAGTGTGATGTCCCTCCAGTTTGACACTTTTATGTGATCTTCAGTATCATACACCATCTAGAAGGAAGGTTTAATGTACAGGTGTCTCTTCTTTTAGAAGGTACAGAGTTATAAATTATTTGTCCTCATGTGGGAGGATTTAACATAGATATCTGTAAAACAACACTTTTTTTGCTTTGAGCTGTCCTAAATTCTGATGTCAGCTTTATTTAAATGTCATATCACTTTGGTGAGGCATTATTTAGTCAGTTCCAAGCAGGTTACTTTACATAGAATTTACTTACATAATGTATTATAACTGACTGGACTTAATCTGTGAAGGAGGACCAAACAGCTCATTAAAACATCCGTCTCAGGCCTTTGAAAAGTCCTGGGTTCTAATCCTGATCTGGCTGGTGACATTTTCCCCTGCTTGTTTAACTAGCCTAGACATGTAAACAGTTGGAGAGAAAACTTTATCTAAGAGGATATTAGGGACATGTGTGCACATTACGTTTATGTGAAATAATATTTCATGTAATTACTGCTTGTTGTCAAGTGTTTTTGTATAATTGTTGTTAATAAGATGAAAATATTAAATATTTTTAAGTATATTGTGTAAAGAAAAAGTTTTCAATGTTTATCATTCATCTCCATCTTAACCATTCTGTAATGTCCCTATTAGAGTTGATTTGAGTGTTCGTATCAAATCTGTTAGCTTTGTGTCCAGAATTTATCATACTTTTATCTGTGTAAATATTGAATAAATATTAAAAAAAAAAAATCAAATGAAACTTGTTTTGATTGTTTATGTAGTATTACAGGAAATATGATATATATTTGTCTGCTGATAGTTCCATATGTTATAAATAAACCAAAACCTTAAGTCTCTTAAAACTGCCATTTCATTTACATGTAAAATATTTACATGTAAGAAACAGCTTAGTTAATGTCATGGTGGGCGATTCAGCTTTGTCCTTCACCTTTTTTTATTCAGCTCGCCTGATACAAAGTAGTGGTGTATTCATTGTCCATCGGTTTTGCATCTTCCAAAAGCTTAGCAGAATTCAACCAAGTTTTGGTGCTTGCATCGGTAGGGCATAGGGATCAAGACTAATAGAAGGGTTCAGATATGAACTAAAATGCAGTGATAGCATGCAGCCCATTGTAATCCAAAGATATTACTAATAAATGTCAATAGAGACCAGGGCTACATTCGCGTATCCTGGTTAAAACTGTACGTGTGGCGCAGAAATTTTCCACGATAAACGAACCACTTGGACCGTTCTGTAAGCAGAGCTAAAAATACAGTTTCGGAGAATAAAAAACAATGTTTCAAGAATATTATGCCCTTCTCTCACGCGGCCACTAAATAACATAACGTATCATAACAAGAGGCCCATGGGCCTTAACGGTCACCTGAGTCCTAGAGTATTTATTTTTGTTGTTGAAATATGTACCAATTTGAGTAAAAAATAGTTAAGTATAATGATAACTTAACTTTGTCAGGACCATGAGCTGATCATTCCTAGACCGATTTTCAGTGAAATCAGCCTATTAGAACTTGTCTTTAAGTTTGAAATAGGTATTTACAAAATAGCGGCCATGGCAGCCAAAGTTTCAGTTCAATCGGTCTAGCAGAACTTGACTTTAAGTTTGGAATAGTTTTTAAAAATGGCGGCCATATTGGGTTTCTGATCGACCCGGAAAATAACAACACTTTGTCAGGACCATAAGGCGATTATTCCTACCAACTTTCAGTTCAATCGGCCCAGCAGAACTTGACTTTAAGTTTGGAATAGTTTTTAAAAATGGCGGCCATATTGGATTTCTGATTGACCTGAAAAATAACAACACTTTATCAGGACCATAAGGCGATTATTCCTACCAACTTTCAGTTCAATCGGCCCAGCAGAACTTTACTTTAAGTTTGAAATCGTTTTTCAAAATGGCGACCGTGGCGGCCATATTGGATTTCTGATAGACCCGAAAAATAAAAACCCTTTGTCAGGACCATAAGGCGATCATTACTACCAACTTTCAGTTCAATCGGCGCAGCAGATCTTTACTTTAAGTTTGAAATAGTTTTTCAAAATGGCGGCTGTGGCGGCCCTATTGGATTTCTGATTGACCTGAAAAATAACAACACTTTGTCAGGACCATAAGGAGATCATTCCTACCAACGTTCAGTTCAATCGGCCGAGCAGAACTTGACTTTATGTTTGAAATGTAAAATGTTAACGGACGACGGACGACGACGGACGAAAACGGTAGCAATAGGTCACTTGAGCTAAAGCTCATGTGACCTAAAAACTACATGTGACTTTGACATTGTTTAAGAAAGAAATAACGCAAATTGGTAATAGTCAGCATTTTAGTTTCGGTCAGGTACGTCTGGACCCCTCGATCTACACGTACCAAATTTTCCTGAGGTCAGCCGCGGTCCAGATCTTCAACCAGATACGCGAATGTACCCTATGTAAAAATGTCATGAGCTGATTGGCTATGAATGAGATGTCCCAAACTTTGATTACAACATTTTCAAAAAAAAAAAATCAGTGATCAATTCAAGGCTCTTCAGTTTCTCGCAATCAAACATTTTTTAGAAACAATGCCGTGCTGTGAGTCACAAGTCAGGTGTCTGTGTGTGGATCCCTTTTCTAAAGACCTGTAATACATGTGATGGTATCGGCCATGTAGTTTGCTAGTTTGAAGGGCTATCAAATTTAGTAAAACGACTGACCTACATTCTGAACAATGAGTGTAATGTATTAAAACATTAAATGACTTCAGATACCAAAGTGATATGCTTATTTTTAGCTTAGCCTGTGGTTACTGGGATGTGGGACTATGAGTTTGTTGAAGTAAATGATCAAGACCCACTCTCGGTTCACTGAAAAGTTTGAATGATTCCTTCCGAAGATCTTTAAGGTCTAGAGTATGTTATTTGGCTTTTTGGAATGAAGGATTATCGAAATAACAATGACCCTGTAGATAAAAAGTATTTTGAAAACATCGAATGATTTTGTAAAGATCCATAAGGCGGTAAGTAATTATGTTTGTGTCCGTGACTTTCAGAGATGAATATTTATCCAGTTGTTATTATAACATTTACTGACTTTCACTGGTGAATTTTGTCAAAACAATTCCTGATAAGCTAGACGTCCAAGAGTAATGATGCTTGTCGTGTAGCTTGTTAAAATTACCTTGGTCCATAATAAATGTCGTGATCAGATGTGTTTGTTTAAATCTTGTTCCAACTTCTACATCTCTATTTGGTCTAGCACAAGTTTCTTCCTGCCCTGGTACCAGACATATATCTGTCCAAATGTCCAAGTCTGATGTCAGGGCCAGAGAAATCTCGAGCAATATTTGGCCTAGAGTAATGCTTGTACCTTGGTAAGGGTACTAGCTCTAAGTTTGGTAATACAGTGTAAAATACCCAACAAAGATACATAAGACATAAAATAATTACCATTAACCTAAAGTGTATGCTTGCTTGCTGTCGAGTTTATTCATATTTGACCGTCACCTTTTTCTGAAGGTCCTGTTTGAGAAGTGACCTTGACCCACGTTTGAAGACATTGTTCTGGTTAATCATGTCAGTAGCCACAGACACGGCTGAGAGGTCCTTTAGCTCTATCACGAGTGTGAAAATATCTCATGTAAACAATGACATGCGAACGGCAAAGTAATACAGATGTAAGGCGAGGTAAGGTGATGGCTATAGTGGTCAGTATTCAACGATGTCGGCACCCGGTAGCATACCGAGACCTGTTACATGTATGTCGCCTAGCACGTGCGGAGTGTCGCCTACACCCATGCACCGAGGTAGCCCTTCATTACACGGACATTACCCCAACAGCTCTCCTATACTACCGCCTCCTCCTCCTCCTCCTTCTCTCTCTCACATACTCCACAAGTAATGCACATAATGAACTATCTTAATGGGAGACTTGCACAGCTGGACCAAATCCTGCCAAAACTAGACCTATTTGATCAAATAAATGAAAAAGTGAACAATTTTGAAATTTGTATCAGAAACCTCCAACAAGAAATAATAGAGGTGCGACAAATATCGGAACAGAACAGAGGTGTAAGTGATAAACAGGAGGAGCACCACTACAATTTAGAGGAACGTGTTTGCTCTATGGAGAGAGAAAAAAGAAAATTTAATGCAAAACAACAAAGACCTGAAAGAAAATTTCCTAAAACTTAAGACGCATTCGATGAAATATAACCTGCTGTTCTCGGGAATTCCGGATAATGAACGTCATATTGAAAACATTGAAACTGTTCGTAGATCATTAATGCCGACGGCATATCATTCGACAATGTACACCGCCTGAGACAGCGACGTGACGGCAAACCCCGTAGTGTAATTGCCAAATTTGCCAACTTCAATGACTTGGAACGAGTCCTCAAAGAAGCTCCTATCAAGCTGCGAGGTAAACCGGAGTTCAGCGTTCAGCCGCAATTCCCTCCTGAAGTTGCCCAGAGACGAGCAGCTTTGTACCCAACAATGAGGGAACAAAAGCGCCGTGGCAATAGGGCTACCCTCAGTTATGACACGTTATACGTCAATGGGGAACCCTATAGAGCCCCACCCCAAGGAACCCGCCCAACGAGCCCTACCCCCCCGGACGGAACAATGAGCACCACTAGGATCACGTCACAAGAGTTCAGGAGGTGCAGGACTTAAATTTCACTTTTGTGAACATTTGTGGTGTCAGGTCTGAAATCCTGTTACCAGAATTTTCTGATATTGTGAAGTCTCACGATGTCTTTATTATGGTGGCATATTTCTGCCATCCACTTGCGACTTACGAGTTACGTATGTCGACATAATTATTGAAAGATGCAAGTGGATGGCAGAAATATGCCACCATACTTTATATTATCTGAAACTAAAACTGACGATCTGGAGATTATGTAGCTAAAAACAGACCTAACACAAAAAATAAATCTGGCGGAATAATTATGATATTTAAAGAAAAGTATAAATCATTACTTCTATTTCCAAAAATTCCATCCGAGTTCGTCCAGTGGGTAGAAGTACGTGCAAGTAATAACATATCCACTCTATTAGTGGGCTGTGTGTATGTACCCCCCGAAACTTCCAGATATGCTTGTAATGAAGCATTTTTAAAAGTTCAGGGCGAAATGATTAATTTAATTAACAAGAATTACGTGTAATTATATGTGTCGCCTGTCCCGCTTTGTCAATATAATAAGCATTTGACATAGTACATAAGGAAACGGACCTAAACGCAAAATCATAACATTGATTTTTTTTAAAGTCCAGAAAGTTCAGGTTATTATCCGAATAAGTGCAGAAATCCATGAAATGTTTAGAGAGTAGTAGGCTCTACTACCCATGATACACGTATGATTGAGGCTTGGTTGGTGTAGCTCTTATACTTTGTCAGAAAGAGCCTAATATGCAAGAGCTAAACGCAAAACCTTAACGTTGAGTTTTTTTCTAAGTCCAGAAATCTGAGGTTTTTACCAAAAAAAAAGCAGAAATCAATGAAACGTTTTTAGTGCAGTAGGCTCCACTACCCATGCTTCATCTATGATCGAGGTTTTGTTGGTGTAGCTTTGTCAGAAACAGCTAAACGCAAAACCTTAACATTGTTGACGCCGCCGTCGCCGTCGGAAAAGCAACGCCTATATATGTGTCTTTCCGACATCCGTCGTAGGCGACACAAAAATTACAAAAAAGTTATACTTATCGGAGATTTTAATGCCAGAACTAATACTTGTGACGATAATATCGTTC